TATATGCAAGTGTCCAGATATTTTTCTCTCCCTCTGAGATGCAGTTGGTTTCAGCGAAAACCCGTTAGTTTCGTTTAACACCTTCGCAGTGTGCCAGTACAATTATCCGTCGGTGTAGCCACCTGCTTTCGGTGATGTACTGATTGCTCACACTCTGGGAACTAATGGCGTTTTCGACTGACGGCAGAAATTCGGGGTCGCAATGCATTCGACAAGTCGGTCCCCATGCGCGAATCTGAAACTTGACATCTTTGAACTAATTGCATATAAAGAAGGATTTTATTTGACTTCTATATAACACGTATCACATAGACGTCATGTATACACAAGCGGCCTTTTTCGTTAGTTAAAGTCGGCCTTGACCCCCTGAATAGACCAAGGTCATCAGCTATCGACACATCAACGGCTTGACGCAGTCACTGGTCAGTGCTGAATGATATCACGTTTGTATTGTAGAATCAGAGGTCCTCTTGTCCCTGCACGGACATTATGAACTAAGCGTTGCCCGCCACGCTTGCTACCAAGACTCCGTCAAAAATGTCTGCCTTCTTCCGACTACTCACATGCATTGCATATCTGCGCTACTACATGCAATCTAACAAGCTGTGGTTCATCGATAATTTTCGGTGCACTCAAAACCCACCCACCAGTCATCGGAGGGGAAAGCGAAAACTTCCGAAGGGAGGTGGGCGCTGAGCGCACGCCCTCAGCCCACATGTGCGCATGACTGCGCGTTATCTTGACAAATATCCATCCACTAGAAGACTGCTAAGTCTAGCCAAATGAACTACTGTACTACCTCAACGTAGATCGACACGGATGCAGCCTTCAACAACATTCAGTCAGATGTCGGGGCCTTCCACATGCGCAAAAATGGCGAAGTCAAAGGTGATGAAAGAAAGCTCTGATGAGAGAACTGAATTAGCAGTTTTGTACGCGGGATGTGGCTGAGGCATCAGAGAAGTTACGCTAAAGTTATATTCCAGATATTTGGGCAGGTCGGTCACTTGTAATTCTGTTCGAAGGGTGTGATTAAAAAACATTGAACAGTCACCAGAGGTGATAGTAGCGGCAATGTAGGAACTTCTATTCAAACGGAGGAATGGGGGGATGGTGGACTGAGGACTAAAATGTCTTCCTACTTGCTCAAAACCAGGCTTGCCTGGCAAGGCGCAAGTTAGCAGTCCTCGCGATGCTAGTTGAGCAAGCTAGTTGCTAAGTGTCAAAAACTAAATTTGATCTAATCTTTTTTATTTTTGAAGGGCGAGCCAACAGATCGGCGGAAAAAAACGTGATATAAGTTTACCCTGCCCTTAAGTCAGGCAGCAATAACTTCAAGAGGCACATGCATCAGATCCTCTACCTGGCAAATGCACCGCTCGTTTCTCTCCTCCACACATTAACATATACATATTAAGTGGGGATTCGAAGCCCTCGCAGCCATGCTATGAAGTGGCAAACATGGCCGAACACGTGTCTGGGCTTTTGACTAGTACCAGTCGGAAGTAAGATGTAAGAGCTCAGGCATAAATAAACAAATGCATATATATATATATATATATGAGATAGAGCCGACAAAGACAAGGGAGACCGAAATGGCCATTTCTGGCTTATTAGCCGTCATCAGACATTCATACCCAGCCCCAAGTGTGGATCACTTGAGATTCGAACCCAGTATCTTTGATCATGGAGTTTGATATTCCCGATCACAACCGACAGGACAACGGGCCCGTGGCTCAATGATAGATTGTCAAACTCCATGACCAAAGATCCCGGGTTCGAATCTCAAGTGATCCACACTTGGGGTTGGGTATGACTGGCTGATGACGGCTAATAAGCCCGAAATGGCCTTTCTCGTCTCCCTTGTCTTTGTCGGTATTACCTTATCTGCATATATATATATATATATGTCAAAAAATATATATATATATTGTATATTGTATATATACTTGTAGTACTACTTGTTTGTAGAATGGGCATTACGTGGTTATTCCACAGTAGTTGGTTGTCTTCGACTCGAATGCTCATTAAAATTTCGGATCTGACGCTAAACGTGATGTGCGGGAGAATTAACTGCATGTCCTACATCGAATAATTTCTAAATTTATTCGCTTGATATATATCTGCATATACATAATGTTAGAGGGACGTTACGAGATACGTTCGTCTCGATTCATGCCATCGAACTCAATTTCGAGTTCCGCCAACAGCCACACGACGGTTAGTAGACCAGGTAGAATAACATTACCGACATAGAAAAGGGAGACTGTAATGGTAAGGGGGGGGGCGCTCACCGATCGTTATTACGGAACTCACTCGTCCCCATGTGCCTTACGGGCTCTTTCTCGAGCCCAACCAGCAGCCGCACAGCAGCGCACGATAGGAGACTGTAATGGCCATTCTTGGATTATTAGACGTCATCAGCCGGTCATGCCCAACCTCGGGTTTTTGCCACCCGTAAGGCTCGGTCCCGTGACCTGTAGGCTAGAAGTCCAGCGCCCCAACCACTGGGTCACAGGCTCGTTATCCTGTCGGTTGCTATCGAGTGTATGCAATAGTTCGACTGTAGTTGCCGACGATGTCTACCGTATGCTCAACAACGGAGACAGCGATTTTTAATGACTTAGTTTGTAGTGAATGTAGACTTGCGCTGCATTTGACACACTTTCTCCTCCTCTCCCACCTGGAGCCGGTGTCAAAACAGAGTCAAGAAGATAGGGGGAGTGGGAGGACGCAAGTGGATGGCACAGTCGAGCCTGCACCTTGACGTCTCACTCCCCACCTCCTGGTCCACACAGAAGATTACCTGAGCTTTGACGAAAAACAAAAGGGGCTGGCGCGACCGGAGCCGCGCCCAGGCGTACCGTCACACCCGGCTAGGACCCCACGCACTGGAAGTGTCATAAAGGCTACATTAAGAAGGAGTCATTGCAGCCTGACTCTTGACCACCAGTCGGCCACTGTACACAAACACACAACACTCGGTCAACTGCGAGGCCCAAGTTATCCCGTCAATTGACAACCTTCCAGACCAAAGTTTTTAGCGCACCGTGATAGTTTCAATTCAGTCAGGTTGTTTATAGTGGAGAAAATGCGTTGTTGTCGTCCTCACTCTCCCTTCGTACTCCCAGGCCCCAGTCAGTTGAAAGGTGCGGAGAATGGACGCGATAACTGACCTAGTCTAGTGACTTTGTCTGCGTGCCCACATGCACGACCTGGCCCCCCAAACACAAGCACCAGGATTTCACACAACGGGGATCGAGCGGGGTACATCTCACATGCGTGAGAGTGCCGTACGTCAGTTTGGGAAGGAGCCACTTCAGCCTCTCGCAACCCACCAGTCCGCCACTCCACATATACCTACACACAACTAGGCAGACTGGGTGGGCTGAGTCAATCAGCAGCCTTCTAATCCACAATGCTTGAGGCACCGTGATAGTCTCGCACTCCGATCGTCCATGCAGCAGAAGAAGTGCATAGAGATGGGGCGGAGACGCACACTTACCATTTACTTGGGAGGTGGCAACTGGATGCTTGTATTGGGTGATGATGCTGCATGATGTAGGTGGAGGAAGATGTGATTGTGTGGTTTACCCGACGGTTGTCTACTGCAGGCTTCCGCGAATGCGCATGTGGCTAATAAGTCCATGAGGTGGGTGAATGTGCAGGTGCACTGAGGATAGTTGAGATGGATGCGTTTTGTGTATGTTGGCGCTCCAGGCACTGGTTCATCAGTCTCTGTACGATGGATTCGCAAGTGACCGACCAAACCGATGTGTCGGGCGAAGGTGCGATCGCAATGAGGACAGGTATGAACCGAGTTCACATGGCAGGTGTTGAGAATGGTGCGGTTAGTGTTGATCGATGTGTCAGGATTGTGTGCAGTTGATACAGGAGTCGTCGCAGTGGATGTTGAGGCGTTGGAGAAGGATGGAAGTTGGGGTTCAGGAGCGTGGTCAGTATTAATTTTCGGCGTAGTGGCGAGGCAGAGGTGGACGAGGTGACATCGGATGGTGTCGTCCGGGTACTGCAATTGATACGATGATGTCCAATGAGACCGACTGATGCCCGGAACTTCCGTTGTCACAATGAGCAGGTCCGGGGGTGGTTGAGCGTTAGCGTTGGGAGGTAGGCGCAGTTGAGATTCATGTGCTTCGCGTTTGGCTTTGTCGGCGGTGATGCGGGTGGCTCCATAGATTGCTGCGCCTGTCTTCATCGCTCTCCGCCAGGTGGGTCGGTCCCAAGCGATGTCTTCCCAGTTGTTCGGGTCGAATTGTAGGCGCCGCACTGAAGTCTTCGGAAATATCCTTGTGGCTTCGGATTTGACCTCCTAGTCGGCGGGGACCCGTAACGACATCTCCATAGTAGAATCATCTGGGTAACCGCTCGTTATCCATTCGCACCAGATAGCCGCTCCAGCGCAGTTGCAGTTGTTTCAGCATGACGTAGACGCTGAGGATTCCCTTCCGTTCCAGTATGTCCGTGCTCGGGATCCGGTCCTGCTACCTCAGCTTCAGTATCCGTCGAAGACAGCTGAGGTGGAAGTGGCTGAGTCTCCGCGCCTGCTTTTTGTACACCGTCCAGGTCTGCGCTCGATACAGCAGCGACGACAGGATGGCTGTTTTACACATCTTCAGTTTGGTGTCGAGATGGAAATCGTGTCGATTACAGACTGGATTTTTCAGTCGGCTGGAGGCCTGGCTGGCTCCGGAAATCCGGTGGGCCACTTTATCGTCGATTTTGGTGTTGTGGGTACTGCCCAGATATGAGAAGTTGTCCATGGCTTGAAGTTGGGCGCCGTTCACGTTGATTTGGGATGTGTTGTGGGCAGTGTTGGGTGGCGGTTGGTGCATAACCACCGTCTTTTCCGTGTTAATGATCAGGCTGAAGTTATCGCAGGTGGCGGCCAAGAGGTCCACGCTCCTTTACATATCCCCTTCGGAGGTGGCCTTGAGGGCGCAGTCTTCGGCGAAGAAATGTTCATGGACGGTAGTTGTGGATAAATGTGACTGGAAGTGCATCCGCCGGTGGCCGAAGAGTTGGCTATTCGTCCTGTTGGCGATGACGATCCCAGGACATTCGTCACGGTAGGGCCCATCAGCATGGCAGAGAACATGAAACTGAAGATGTTAGGCGCAGGGACGCAGCCCTGCTTCACTCCGTTGGTCAAATGGCCCGAGACGGTTCCATTGTCCTTGACTCGCGCCATCATGCCCTCGTGGAGCTGACACACCATCTGGGTGAGTCGCTCGGGACAGCCGAATTTCTGTATGATTTTCCACAGTCCATCACGATTCACTGTACCAAAGGCCTGCGTCAGATCATGGAGGGTAGATTAGAAGCGGATCTTCATCTCCTGACGTTTCTCCTACAGTTGGTGGGTGGCGAAAATCATGTCGGTGCTTCCACAATGACGGTGGAATCCACACTGGCTTTCCGGCAGGAGACTCTGTTCCAGATAGTTATGTAGACGGTTGAGAAGAATGGGAGCGAAACCCTCCCGACGACGTTCAGCATGGAGATACCTCTGTGGTTGTCACAGATTTTGCGGTTTTCTATTCGCTTGTAGAGATGGACGATTTTGGCGTCCTTGAAGTCCTGAAGAACTGCTTCTTTACGCCACATCTCATGAAAGAGCGCCGTCAGATGTTCCATAATTTGGTGGCTGTCGTGCTTGTAGATATCAACAAGGATCGCGTCCGGTCCGGGCGCTTCGCTGCTGGGAAGCTGCTGCACGGCCTAGATGGTCTTATTATAGAGAGCGCGAGCTCGTGTTCGCATTGGTCTACAGTTGAGGCAGACGGGCGATGGCGGCGTCGGAGATGGTGGAGGGACGGCTGAGGAAGCCTCTAAAGTTCTCGGCCCGTCGCTGCAGAATTTGCGTTTTCCCAGTGAGTAGGGTGGTTCCATCGGCGCCGAGAGGAGGAGCAGTTGCTTTGGTTGGCGGATCGTAGACAGATTTGATTACGGCGAAGAAGTTCTTCCATTCTTTGCGGTCCGCGTACCCTTGGAGCCCCTCGGCCTTGCGCGCTGTCGAGGCTTCCTGCATCGCCCACAGCCGCTGTTGTACAAGGCGATGACTACGGTAGAAGTCTGCTTTGTTGTCATCAGTACAGCGATTGACGTAGGCTTTGTGCAGACGACTCTTGTGGGCGATCAGGTTGTTGATAGCAGCGTCATTGTTGTCGAGCCAGTTCTGATGTTGGCGATGTGCGTGACCGAGGACAGCAAGGACGGTTGATTGGACTGTCTCGCAGTTGACATCATCGGTTCTTCACGGAGGCGTTCTCGTCATCGTCGGCAGCGGCAGCGGCGACGGCGACTGGAAAGCTTGTTAACCTTTTGGCAGGTTCACTGCTGAAGTGTAGATTGTGAGCAAGCAAACACAACAAAGCAATATTCAGATTACCTAAAGGGCCGCTTACCTTGAGGTCTCCTGCAAGGCGGTAGGCGAAACTTCAGCCTGGAGAGGACGAGACGACGGCCGGTTCATCCGTCGGCACTCGGGATTGCCTCTGTCATCAGCACGTCCCGCTGGTCTCGCCTCCGGACGAGGACATATTCCAGCAAGTGTCGCGACCGAGTATGCATCCATGTGGCCTTTCTCTCGCGTCGGAAGGCGGAAGAATGTGTTGTTCAGGATGAGGCGGTGTTCTGTGCAGGTTCGCAGGAGGAGTAGACCATTGTCATTGGAGCCGTCGAGACCACGGGGATCCAGCAGTCCTCTCCAGGCAGCATGACCTGTGCCGACGCGGGCGTTGAAGTCGCCAAGGACAACCAACTTGTCCGTATTCGGTACAGTCGCCAGGAGGACGTGCAGATCCTCGTAGAATTTCTTCCTTGTTGCGTCCGGGTTGGTCATCAGGGTAGCGCAGACGCTGACGATGGTGGCGGCTTTGCCTCCCCGAGGGGACAAGTATAGGCTTATCAGGCGATCGTTGATGGCTTGCGACAGACAGGCCAGTCGTCCCACGATGTCGTTCCGGATGGCAGAGGCGACGCCCGCGTCCCGTCGCTCTGCTTTGGGGCAACCGCTCCAGAAGAAGGTGTAGCTGGCATCCACCTCCTCCACTTGGTCTGAGTTCAGCGATGTTCACTTTGTAGGGCGCCAGCTCCCGAGCCACTAGCGTCGTCCTCCGTTCCGGTCGGTCGCTCCTGACGTTGTCTAAGGGGGAACGAACATTCCAGGCTGGCAGAATAAACAGACTCACCTTACAAGCCCGCGGGTTGGGGCAACGGGGAGGAGGAGTAGGAGGAGGGGGAGGAGAGAGGGCATGGGTTCTTACTTGATTGTTTCGATCGTGTATTTTGCGTCTGCGAGCCACGGTCAGCGCGCAGAGGACGTGATCCAAACATTTGTTTATGGCACCTTTTCTAGCCTCAGCCCCCTCGCGGAGATGATCAGTGCTGTCCCTAAATAGGGCTGCTTGGACTTCCCAGACGACGGTGCAGATAAATTCAACAGAACGGTATTTAGCTTATAACAAGGACAAACACAAGCAAACAAAGACAAACGAGCGAGAAGCCCAGATAACAAAGCAATATTCGGCCTACCCGGAGGGCCACTTACCTTGCGACCTCCAGCAGGGTTGCAGAAGAAGCTTCATCTTGAAGGTGACGATGCGGTGATCCGACCGACTTACGACCGTGGGACAAGACAGTAGAGTATAGTAGAGATTAAAGGGAGCGAAGAACAGCGGAGAGTGGAGAATAGGTGCGAGAGAGAAGTAAGCGGGCGGTCTTCCAGCCACTGGGTCAGTATCTTGCTGAGTGCTTATGGACTCCTGCGGAGTTGCTGACGGAGCCTCACCTCAGAGAAGCCGAGGCGGAGATCCGTCCGGCCAGCGGTGATGGGATCGGAGGGGATTCGATCTACCGTGTGCGAAGGTTAACACACGAATACTCTCACCTGGTTTAGCCCGCCGGCTGAGGCGGTTACGGGGGTGCGGCCTCTAGGCAGAGCCTAGCTTCGGGATTTACTTGCGAGAGTTAGGGGTCAGTAATGGATGCTCGGCGTAGCCTGCATAGATTGTAAAATTTAGTTATGCCTAATTTACTAATCTCACCCGGTTCAAATTTATTCCGGGAAAAGAATGTGCTAAAACCCGGTGGGATCGTTGCGAATGCAAAGAGCACGATTGCCGATCCCAGATTATGGATGTCAGGACAAGACAGGAGTTACGAAAGAATTAATACTCAAATGTCAAACGACCTGACAGTCCAACACATGCTACGCGGGTCGCGTTGAGCCAAGTTCCTCCCCATTCAGTTAAACGAACAATAAGTTGAAGAATGGTGAGCGGTTAGGTAATGGCAAGATAGTCCGGTGCCTCGGCACAGTAGCCCTCTCCGAGACGGGAGGGCGGGGTAAACGATGCCGAAGAATGTGTAAAAGTCTAAAAGAAATGAGTGACCAACCGATCATGGAAATGGACGTGACGGCCACTAAGAGTGAAATATACAGGGGCACAGGGGAGAGTGAGTGTGGCTTGCGGTTTTAGTGTTGAAGTTTGATGAGAGGGCAATGGGAGTTAGGGGTCGCGGACATGAGGGCAGAGGAAGTATACAGGACGGAGGGATAGGGGGTCGGGGAGATGGAGCATGGGGTAGAGGACCACAGGGCTCATCTGGAGGAGTGTCCGGGACGGCAGCTTTGAGACGGTCCACGCTCACGACCCCCTTCCGAGTTCCGCGTTGGATGTGAAAATTCTTCGTCCCACGCGAGATAACGCTGAAGGGGCCGTCGTAGGGGGTTTCCAGCGGTCGGCGGACTCGATCACATCGGAGATAGAAGTGAGGGCATGTCGCCGAGTCTATCTGAAGTCTTTTCTCGGAATGGCCAGGGCGGAACCGAGTAAAGTGTCCGAATGAATTGCCGGAGACGGCGCAGGAGGTTGGTGGGATCCTTAAATGCAACTCGCGGGGTTGGCGAGTTCATCTGACAGGGAAGTCGGACGCCGGCGCCGAGCACCAGTTCAGCAACGAAACAGTGAAGGTCCGGCCTGAGAGCGGAGCGGATGCCCAAGGGGACCAAGGGAAGATGGTCTGTCTAATTCTCCGGATCATCCGTGCGCGTAGATAGGCTTTCAGCTGGCGGTGAAACCGCTCGACCATCCCCTTGGCAGCCGGGTGACAGACGGTCGTCCGGATACGGGTACAGCTGTGCTGTTGTGCTGTGCCGTTGGACCTTACTCCGCTGACAGCCGAGACCTGCCCGTGTCCATGCTTTCAGGTCCTTGTGCATCCCAGGCCAGACGAATTGGTCGGAAACCAGCTTGTAGGAAGCTCGACTCCCAGGGTGTGATGGGTTGTGAAGGGAGGAGAAGACTTTGCGGCTAAGGGATGGCGGCACAAAGCGACGGTGGGAAGTGGTGGAGACATCGCATAGAATGGGTCGAAGTCGCCACTACCGCAGTAGGCTAGGCTGAGAGTGAGACCCCGCTACCACGACCTTCAGGTCTGGTCCTGAATAGAAAGAGGTGGACGCCAGTGGAGGGGATAATATATTCTGTACCGAATAACTAGAGAAGGAGTTGGAGAGAGTTGGCAGCCGGACGCGGGCACGTCCGGCGCCGGGTGAGCGGCGTCCCAAGTGTCTGGGGGAATGCGTCACAGCGTCTTGAGTCGGGACACGTCTGGCTCGGTCCTGAATCTGATTGGCCAACTGGAGAGCCGAGTGGGCCAATGCCAGACGGCCCTGGTGCGAACGTTCAGACACTGGTGAGACGCCCAGTGTTAAGACAGGACAACTACAAGTGCTCCCTTCCCAGACCGAAGTTTGGAGGAGAAATACGATGGAAGAATAGTTAGACTGAGTGTATGCGAAAGGTACCAACAGCATTGTTATCAGCAGCGTGAGCGGCTGCGAATGGCGGGAATGGGTCAAGATAAGAGGGGCGGCTACCGAAAGCCGATGAAGTTGTTGAGTCGCACGTGGACGACAAATCTGTATACCACACCGATATTTGTGGGATTGAGCGAGGAGATACCGCTGGTAGTTGAGGAAGTTAGAGAGTAGATAGTGGGAATGACGTCCGGATTCTGGCACTGATTGCGTGGTTTTGAACGTCGCTGTGTTCTTCATATCTTCTACCTTCTCCGATAACGTACCCACTGAGTGAGCTCGGTAGTAAAAATTGCTTCCTAACCAACCCACTCTACAACGATGTTGTGCCTGAGTTGAGATTGTGTTTGGTGGTCCGATCGTCGTTGCCATGTGTCCAAAAGTACGGGGACAGGAACGTGAATCGGTGTATAGTGGTAGTAGACTTGCGCCGCATATACCCCACTCTCCTCTCAGCCTCCTGAACCCGATGTCAAGATAGACTGACAAAACTTAGCATTCTGCCTGCGCATATCACACTCCCGGTCTACGCACTATACACGAACTTTTCACTAAAACAACAAAGGGGACTCTACGGATGCCAACTGACTGAGGGTGGCATAGGAGGGGAGAGTCGTGCCGTCAGCTGAAAGCCTACTATGCCACGGCTTTTGGCGCACCGTGCTAATTTTAACTCATGTCACATATGCGTTTCGTGCCCTGTGGACGCAATCACCAGAGTTGACCTCATTCTCTATCCTCCTCCAGGCACCAGACCACCGTCCAGTCCGGTCAGCCATCTGGGCGCGAAGGCAGGGAGAGCTAGATAGCCGACTGCGTGAGCCACACACAAGACTTTGCCTCCCACACAACACACCAGGATTTCACTCAAAGGAAGTGGGTGGCTCAGAGCTTACATGCCTGACGGTGTCATGGAGACCATATAAGCAAGGAGACATTGTAGTCCGACGCTCAGCCCACCATTCGGATACGCCACGCGAATACACACAGGGCTGACTGCGAGTCCCGATTTTTACGGTCACCTGCTAACCACCTAAACTACCACGCTTAGCGTGCTGTGATAGTTTCAGGTGTGCCAGATTGTTTATAGTGATGAATGCACTAAAATACCGTGGAGATGGATCCCCCATAGTCAATCTCACTTAATTTCTACTGTCCCGTGCACTAGTGGATTTTCAGAACCGGTCAGTCAATCGGCGCTGAGATTGGATGAAGTGGTTGACAGAGCTAAACTTCCCGTCAACACACGTTACACACGAACTGACCTCCACACAACACATTAGGACTTTTAATAACAAGAGTGAACTGTTCACATTTCAATTGTGTTAAAGTAGCAGAGGTGCCACAAAGAGAAGGACCAAAAATACACTTATCGCTTTCGTGAGACGTACATTCTTCGTGCCTATGTTGAACGGTGTCGGGCATTTTCATGTGTAGTGTATGCGTTGATGGGGAAATTGTGGCTATGGGAATTGTTTTGCAGTGGTTTTTTGCAGATTTTGGTGGAGGCGCATCAAGACAAGTCGGCCTAACTAATTGTGGTAGAGCAGCGTAGGCCATGGAGGCGGATGCGGCAAGTGTACGAAAGCGCCACCTGCACTGGTTCGCCAGTCACAGTATATTGAATTGGCAAATGACCGGCCAGGCCAATGCGTGATGTGAAGGCACAACTGCAGTGGGGATAGGTTGGGATCAAGCCCACATTACTGGTGGCAGAGATGCTGGTGGCGGTGGCGATGGGGTGGTGGCTGACGGAGTTTTGTGAGTGTTATCACCGGTGGGAGGTGCGGGAGGGACGGTCGTCGTCGCCGCATCACACAGGATGCGGCAGATATCATGGAAACGGTGGTTGATGTCAGGAATTTGCACGCCGGTTGTCTTGGTGGTCGTCGTTGTCGTTGCCGTCGTCACAGGGGATGTGGCAGTGATAATGGGTGTGGTGATTGGCTTAGGCGGCGAGACTTGGGAGTCTGCGGTCGGGGTGTGGTATTGGTAGCGGTCGCTGTCGTGGACGCCGTGGAGTTTTGTCAGGTGTGACAATTGGGACGTTTGCGAAGGCACCATGTGAGGTTGTCGGGTTGTTATTGGGTTGGGCCTGGGGATGCTTAACGAGGCCGCTTCGTGCGCTGAATGTTCGTTGACAGCGTGGACATGTTGGAAGGAGTTGGGTGTTGACGTTGTGGATAGGAGACATTTGAGACTTGCGTGCCGCTCTTTCGGTTTTTGCAGCAGCGATCTGACTGCCTCCGTTGACTGCTGTGCCGGTCTTCACTGCTCTTCTGCAGGCCGGCCAGCTCTGGACAAGATCGTTTTAGATCTCGGAGCTGATTTGCAAACCGTGGAGGGAGGTCCGCAGGATGTCCCTCTGGCGTCCTTCTAGTTCCCCTTGTCTGTGATCAGCCGTAGCGACATCGTCGCTTGGTACGGCGGTCATCGTGATCCTCGTGAGGTGGCCGCTGCAGTGTAGTTGTAGTCGTCTCAGCATGGCATGAACGCTGAGGATTCTGGTTCGTTCGTGTACTTCTGTGTCTGGGATCATGCCATGCCTCCTTATCTTCAGCATTCATCGGGGACTGCTGAGTGAGATTTTGATTAGTTTCCTGGGTTGGTTATCGTAAAAGTTCCATGTATCCTCCCCGTATAGTAATGCCATTAGTTCTACCGCTTTTTGCATTTTGAGTTTTTTGTGCTAGTGAAGTCCTCTGCGCATCCTGACTGAGGTCTATAGCCGGCAAATTGTCTGGTGTGCTTTAGAGATCAGCTGGGTCATTACGACGTACATCCTGACATTCCATAGAATTTTGCCCCCTGGGTATGCGGATTTGTCCGCAGTGACAATGGGAGTTCCACTGACGGCGATGTGTGGTTTTGTGCCGTCTGTGTCTAATGCCGGCTAAAGTTGTATTGATGGTTTGTCCGAATTTAATGCATTTAGAGGCACACAATTGACCACTATA